CGGTGCGTCTTATACTCCGGTGCGTCTTATACTCCGAAAAATACAGTAAGTAATGTGGCTTGAAATGGGAATGGGATCCTTTGCCAGATAGCAATCCTTGTAGGACTTGCTATTTGCTATAAAGGAACCCATTGCAATAGAAAATTTAAAATATAGGTTTTGCTGTGCAATTGCATTGCTATGTTGGCTGTTCATGTTCGAGATTGCTCATGAAACAATAAACCTCTGATCTTAAAAGTAAGATTTATTGGTTGTGCTTTCTCTTTGTTTTTTTATATAGGGATATTTTTTGCGACAAGATTAATCCCTTATCATTGCTACTGTTCTCCCTGTGGCAGAGCTGGACAGAAGCAAGATCCATCCTGTGCTCTTTGGACCAAGGAGGAGAGCCCAGCCACTGGACTCTGTCCTCGTAACACGACAAATGCACGGACGACAAAAGCACGCCGACAAAACCGCGGCACGAAAACCACGACGTCATCAACACGCCGACAACAGCGAACCGACAACAGTGCGCCGACAGAAGTGCGATTTAAGTTAAGGTAAGGGTTAGGGTTAGGGTCAGGGTCAGGGTTAGGTTTAGGGTTAGAGTTAGGTTTAGGGTTAGGGTTATGTTGAGAGCGCGCTTCTGTCGGTGCACTGTTGTCGGCGCGCTTCAGTGCTCATTCGTCGGCACAGTTTAGAACTCGCGGTTTTGTCATCGCGGTTTTGTCAGGCGCACTTTTGTCAGGCGCCCTTTTGTTGGTGAACCGACCTTCCTTGCTTGCTCACTCACTCACTCACTCACTCACTCATGTTGCCAAAGATGGGCAAGGCCGCCGGCTAACCTATGGCTTACCTCATCCATCAGCATCCAGAGGTACGACTTCACCGGCACGTCAATCAGGTTTGGCCCGTAAATTACCTTTCTGTCAGAGAGGGGAAGGAACACAGAGTTTTAGGAAAGCCACAGCCATCCTCAAGGCCCACTTCAGTTAGCCAGTGTCTTCAGGAATCAGGACTTCAGAAAATGTGGATCAGTGGTGGGTTCCAGGCGGTACGCTGGGAGCAGCGGCCACTGTACCGGAATGGTGTTTCGTTGGGCCCATCCGCCCACCCTCGTTCCTTACCTGTTTTTAAGCCAACTGGGCCATATGCGCATGCATGCACAGCGTATGGCACCTGTGTGACCTCTGTCGAGCAGCTGGAGCGTCGCAGGATGGTGGCGTGTGCATGCGCAAATGTCCTACTTGGCTTAAGCCAGTGTACCGGTTGTGATGGGATCCGGAACCCACCACTGATGTGGATGTCCCTTTCCCACCAGCCTCCAGCTAGTATCTTGTACTAAAGAGAGTTTAAACATAAGATTGGGTGTGGCAGAATTTGTTAGTCGACAGTCAGCTTTTACGGAGCTTGGTGTGAAAAGTTGCCTGGATTGACATCCTTGTAACACTTGCCTGATAGCAATAGCCATAGCACTTATATACCGCTTCATCGTGCTTTACAACCTTCTATAAGCAGCTTATAAAGTCAGCATATCTCCTCCAACGATCTGGTTCCTCATTTTACCGATCTCGGAAGGATGGAAGGCTGAGTCAACCTTGAACTGGGGAGAATCGTACTGCCGAACTTTTGGCAGTCGGTAGAAATAGCCTGCAGTACTGCATTTAATAGGGACACAGGGGCTAAGACGCTGAGCTTGTTGATCAGAAAGGTTGGCAGTTCGGCGGTTCGAATCCCTAGCAGCGCGTAACAGGATGAGCTCCCGTTACTTGTCCCAGCTTCTGCCAACCTAGCAGTTCGAAAGCATGTAAAAAATG